ATACACTTACATATATACATACATATATATGTGTACACACACACACACACACACACACACACACACATTCTTGCATGCTTTCTTTTTAGAGTGTAAGTTCCTTGAGAGTAGGGGCTGTCTTTTCCCTCTTTTTTTTTATCCCTAGGGCTTAGCAGCAGTGCTTGGAACATAGTAGGTGCATAATAAACATTTATGGATTGATTGACTAAAACAGACAATGTTAATTTGTGGTTCTCTGTTTCTATTTGATTTTGACACCACTGGTTTGTCCTAATAACAAGGCAATTGAAAATCCTTTGGGTGATGGGAAGGGAAGGTTCAAACCTCTGATTTCATTGGTATAAGAAATTCCCAATGGGGAAATTTTTTACCAATGCATATGTGTAGCTCTTCTTCAGTTCATATTTTTGGAATGTTGATTGAGGCACTGAGAGGTTAAATGACTTGCCCAGGGTACACAGCTAATATGTGTGAGAAGTGGGACTTGTACCTGAATTTTTTGATTCTGAGGCTATCTCTATCCATTATGCAATCCTACCTTTTCATTAATCCATGGTAGTGGATTTATGCAGTGCTTTAAGTTTTCAGAGCTAAGATCAGCTTTCATAAGCAAAAAGAAAGAACAGTAATAAAAAAGGATATGGTATACAGTTAAGGAGATTGAATCCTGAATTATCAAAACAAGCTATTAAAATTTTTTAAAAATTGGAAATGGATGACAGAAATGACATAGGCATTATAATAATAATAATTTAATTCAGAAGTTCAGCTAACGTAAATTAATTACTACAAGAACAAAACAAAATCAGAAAACACCTTAGTCAGCAAACATTCCACTTATTTGCCAAATGGAGAGAAATGGCTGCCAAAAGCAACATCAAATTACAATATTAACTTGTTTGTAAAATCTAACAAAGAAAGATGATTGTGAAGAGTATTGTGTTGTAAGATAGAGAGTAGTGGAGGGTAAAACCAGTCTAAAGAAAGCTTAGCAAGATATCAACTAAGCCAAGCCATCCTAAAGGCATTCAAGGGTGAAAATGGAAAGAGAACTATCAAGAAAAATGTAAAAGATTTGTAAAAGTAATTTCAACAATCTCTTTTCTCTATCAAGGATAGTAGGATCACTCCATTTAGATATTACAGTTTCTGAGGTGTTTACAGAGGAAGTAAAAATGGCAGTAAAGAGAACAAAGACAGATTTGGATTAGGTGTGTATAGAGGAGATCAGAAGGTGATATAGTCTCCAGGATGATGAGGAACTGATTTACAAAGGAAAGGAAAACAATAAAGGCATGGGAGAAAAAGGTAGACCTTATTTTTTTTTTAAAATAGTGATTAAGAAAACTTCAACAATTACCAACCTTTATGTATATTTATTTTCTCATCTATACAAAATCTTCATGATGGTCATCCATATACAAATTGAGGGCATTCTTGATGAGGGCATTAGTAAGTAATACTAATCATTTTTGCAAGTGATCTTCACTGATGGACTGCATTTTTACCATCTTACAATGGACTGAAAGATATAGAAAATTTAAGATTACATTTTCCTTATTACATATGGATTATGAAGAAGTATTCTACTCAGTTGAACAAAATGCTGCCTTATGTTCTCTTTTTCAACAAGATATCTCTCATGAATATATCAAAATAACCTAGGAAGTTTGGGAAATATAACTACAGAAACAATCCTGTTCAATGACCTTCTAACAATAAGCATCAGGTGAGATACAAAAGACAGAGATGTTTACTCAGCAAAAGTATTTTTCACTGTAATGGAGGCAATCCATCACAAAATCCAGGCTGAGGAAGAATTTTCTATGGATGGTGAGGTCCTCCAGTTCCTCTTATTTACAGATGACACTGTGTTTATTGCATCAAGCTCCAAGACATTGTAGAGCTTCTTGAAGGAGATCTGCAATCTCACAAAGGAGTTTGGTCTCTACATCCACAGAGGAAAGACCACACGGATGATAAACGTCTATTGTCCAGATTTCAATCTGCATCTAAATAGACATCCGATAGAACTTTTCTGACATTATGTACCAGATATCCCAAAAGTCTTAGTGCAACTTGAATCTTCAAACTGCACTAAGACTTTTGGGACACCCTATATTTTTAGGACAAACAATGAATATGGACAATAAGCTGGGCCCAGAATTGAATAGGAAGAGAGTGAGCTGGATTGATTTGTGGGAAGTGCAAAGCATTTTTACTGATTCCATAAAAGCAGAGGCCTATCTTTGCAATACAATAATTTTATTGATGCAGCTTTGGAATGGGTTTCTTTAGGCATCCTTCTTTTCTCCTACAGCCCCATCCTTATATACTTACTCTGGCAAGGGAAGAACTCCTTGACTCACACTGAGCCCTCTTGATCTTTAAATATTCTTGATTCCCAAATTACTTTGAGGCAATGTCTTCATTTTTCACTGAACTATAAAGTAATTTCACACGTTTAAAGACTCAGATTGAGAAGACACATTCAAGGTCAGCTGTAGGAGCCTAAAACAGTCTCAATAAGGAAAACCTATGATTTCCTAGGATGTCCTATTCTACTTTTGGACTATTTGGTTAGGAAATATTTCCTTACTTTGGTCCAAAGACCACTTGTCTACTCAACTTCGACCTGAAGAAAACTATGATGATCCTTTCTCCTCTTCCAAGTTTTCTCTCCTCCAGATTAAAAATGAATTATTTATTAATATTATTATTGTTATTATTTTTTTTCCACCAATCCTTGTATGGCATGTTTTTGAGTCCCCTTACCATGCTACCCACCCTACTTCTTTTGTGCTTTAGTTTATAAATGCCCTTCTACACTATAACACCCAGAACTGTGTATCATCATATCCTCTATGTGGTGTAAGCAAGGTAAAAGACATGTACTGTAATCTATCTTGTTCTAGGAATTATGACTCTTTTAATGCAGCATAAGATGACAGTAGCCTTTCTAGTTGCATGTCACATTTTAACTCATATTGAGCTTGCAAGCCACTAAAATCTCTAGGGATTATTCACATGGATTATTGTTTAGCCATTCCTTTTCCATTCTGGAGTTGTGTATATTAGTTGATATTTTGAAACCAAATATGGGATTTTCTATTTACCCTTCTTAAGTTTCTTGGTGTAGGACATGGAGAGCTACTTTGGAGTCAGGAGGACCAGGGTTTCAGTCCTGTTTCTGGCACATACTGGTGTATGATTTTGGGCAAATCACTTAACTTCTCATTGCTCTAGACAACTATCTAAGACTCCATGTTGCAGAGAAGATGCTGATCCAGATTGGCAGAGGTCCTTATCCCTATCCCTAATTTACTTCTTGTTTTATCTTGTTGAGAAATTTTTAAAGAACCTGAATGTGTTATCTAATGTGTCAATTATTTCTCCAGATTTTGTATCACCTACATATGTAAGAGGCATGCTACCTATGCTTTCATCCAAGCCATTGATAAGAATGTTGAAAAGTACAGAACCAAGAATAGATCCCTTCACTAGTGACCTACCTCTTGGGTGACATCAGTAATCCTCAGGTCTGGTCACTGAACCGGTTTACAATCCCCCAAACTGTACTCTGATCCAGCCCACATCTTTTAACTTCATTGCAGGATTCTGGAGAAAGTGTCTAATACATTTTAAAGTATTGGACATATGTGAATGATTATTATACCATGAGGATTTGTCAAATGACATTGAAATCCAGGCATATTGTGTTTGTGGTATTCCCATGATTCATCAGTCTAGTAAACCTGTCATAGAAAGAAAATGAGGTTAGTCTGGCATTATTCTTGATGAACCTATGCTGCCTTGAAGTCATCATTTCCTTGCTACAATCTCACAAACCATCCTTTAAAAAGCCAGGAATCACTGTTAAGCTTGGTGGCTTCTAGTTTTCAGAACATACTTTCTCCCCCCCCCCCTTTTTTAAAGAAGTCAGACATCCATGCTATAGTAGCTCTTGCAAGAGAGTTAATGACAATTAATTGGAAAGAATCCTGATGAATCATCCCATGGTCTCTCCTTCCCCCGCCTCTTGCGGGTTATAGAAGTGGTAGAAAGTTGGGATGAAAGGAGGTGGATGTGGGGGAGAAAGTTACTTTGCGTGGATGTAGTCAAATAAGATAAATATTCTAAAATGTTTTCTCCCTTTTCAAATAGCTCACAGGTGACAGAATTTTCACCCTTAAGTTGACCAAAATTACTTTCATTCTACTTCTTGGGAAGCCTGTATTGCTGCATACAATCTGGATTAGATCAGTTCGTAGTCTTTCCCTACCCCCAACCCCCCTCATTTCCAGGTTGTCTCCCGATCTGGGGACTGACATAAAGAATTATTGTATCATTTATGTGAAATTGTATTCATTAAAAATAATAGTAACTGTAATGCAGTTAGTTGATTACCTCTGATTACTACCTGAGCACACCCACATCAGGCTAGGGAGAAAAACTACCAGTTGGATTGAGCCCTCCATGCCTAAAGCCATTTCCTTTCTTTGCCGTTTGCTCTCAGCAGCGCCGAACTCCATTACTTCCTACAGTATTAAAAGCAAAGATATGCGACAGGAAGAAGTGGAGAAGACAAGCAGAGCAGAAACGCGCTTCAATGGGTTTCTGGCCCAGCTCCTACTTAAAGGGAAAGGTGGTGTAGTGAGGGGAGGCAGGCAGGCAGGCAGTCGACGGACGGCAGAGGCAGCTGCAGCCACGCCAACCAGAACCAGCACCTTTGGACGCTGCTCTCGTCCACGTGACTATTCTCTTCCCTCCTCGCCTCCTCCCTGCCCTGGGCAGTCGCGCGCACAGGCCAGGGCGTCTCAAGCTCCTGCACGCGCTCGCTTTACCAGTCCTGGGGAAAAGGGAGCGAGCGAGCGAGCGAGTGAAGGAAAGAACGAACGGAGAGAGCTGCTGGAGCTGTTCCTGCAAAGCCAGCCGAAGAGGGTGGCTGGGAGGGAGGGGCACTAGGAGAGGAGGTCGCAGCATCAGGAGCAGCGCGGTTCTGCATTTTCTATGTGATGAAGGTTCATTGCATTTCTCCTCCGTTTGCTGCTAGCTGACACTCAACTGCACCCAGTGCGCACCAGAGAGGAGACGCCGCGGTGCCGTGACCTTGGCCGAGGAGGTAAATAGAAGGTGGTAAGAGGGGAGGAGGGAGAGGAAGTAGAGGAGCCCTCCCTGTTACCCCCACCCCCCACCCTTTTCCCCAATCTGACACTATGTGAAGCGTGTACGTTTGCAGTGCGTTGGGAGTCGGCTACTGCTGAGTCTATATCTTTCTCACTGGGGCTGCTGTTGCCGCCTTCCGTGGCGCTGTCCACGGTTCTGAAAGCGCTGGCTTGGGCTTTGGCGGCTTCATTGCAGGGCAAACAGACTCGCCTGCCATTTGCTGCTTCCGTGATCGAGTCAAGCAAAGAGATTTGGGGGTTGGTTGTTTGTCTCCTCCTTTGTTGATTGCTCTGACAGTTAGATTTCTACTGATAATTGCCCAGGTAGCCATCAGAATTGTTTTCTCCTTCTTGGTTGCCGAATCCTGACTGTGGCTGAGGCACATTCTAATGTTTTCCTGCAAAGATTTAACTAGACCGTGCTCCGACTTCTTTTAAAGTAGTGTGGGGCAAAAAGGAGCAGATAGCTGACACTGAGATAAAGTGAAACTAGGTGACCAGGACAAGCAGAAATGTGCTGTATTTCTCTTCCTGTAGGAGCCCCAGGTGTAAAAAGAGAAAATACACGTGCTAATGAATTGCACAGTAATATGGGTCTCTTATTTATATGTCTAGGGTAGACCAGGCACCTGAGAAGCTGTATGGGGGGGGTGGGGGGGGCGCCGCGGAAAGAGTGATGGTTTATGTTGCCCTACAGACCTTTTTGGAAAATAAAATCAAGTGGAAATGCAATTAGTTGTAATGAAAAAAAAAGATCCTCCTTTTAGTACTTAGATGAAAGTGCTATTTTTTAAAAAATAACATGAGCATTCAATACTTCTTCAAGTGATTCCTCTTTTTTAAGTCTTAATTAAAATAGGAATCAGCTGAATATATAGGATCCAAAAGTGGTAACTATTCATAATCACTAAGGTTACTTGAAGCTTGCTTCTGTATGTTGTAGCTATATTAATGTTACAGTTCATTAAGTTTTCACTGTATGCTGTCTTTTCTTCTACCACAGTGCCAGAGTAGAAATATTCTAAAGTTAGCTTTCGGATGAGTGATTTTTTAAAAAAATTAAGATAGAAAGGGTCAAATAACCACCACTTGTGAATCATAGAAGTCTCATTGGGATCTCTCTTACTTTTTTTCAGTGGCAAGTTGATAATTCCATTATTTAAGAGCCTTTCTGATTTGGGGTGACATGGCACAGGGAAATAATTATGGACAGAGCAGCAATGGGGTGGCTGATGAATCACCCAACATGCTTGTGTACAGAAAGGTAAGGATTTCTTCTTTTCCTTGGGTAAAGAGAGACTTCTGACATTTGTCTAATTCTTTTTTTGTTTGATCTACTTACGTAAATGAAATAACTACTAGGAATGTGAAAAAATATGATATATAAAAGTAATAAGTATTCAATAATAATTCTATTAATACAAAGATGAAATAAATGTTATTAGACAGTCATTCTTTCTTAGATAAGTTTTCCTGAATATTTTACATAGATTGATCTACTGATCTGTTATGATAGCTGCAGATTCTTGCATCCCAACTTTTTTTGGGAGGCACACATGATTATTATTAAATAATCATCTAACAGTTATTTTATCTCTGCTATGATTAACCTAAACCTTTCAAATTTTAGCAAGTGCATGGTACACTCAATATTTACTAGTATTTTAATTTGAGGAATAAATATAGACTAGGCTGCAGCTTTATGGTGATGAATTAAAGTGTAAAATTTCTGGCGTCTATGTGAATGTGAAGATTAGTTATTTTTACTTCCTAAGCCAACTAATCCTTGTACTTGATATTAGCTTGAATCTAGTGTTTATTTTGTCCTGTTTGTAGAGATTGATTTTCTATGACCCTGAATCTATTATGAAAAACAAAAAGAACTTTTGTATATCAAAATAGATTTGATAGTTCTACTCATTCTTTAGGAATGATATCAGCAACAAGCTTCTAGACCTTGAACTACAGTGATGAAAATGTGTTTGACAACCATGTATGTTTGCAAATAGTTGCTTAGATGACTTCATTTCAACTATAACCAACAATCTTAATAAAATAAGGGAGCAGTATTTAAGTCCTCCATCCAGTATGTTTACCATTGCATTTTATGCTGGTGTTATTTCAGAAATATTTTGTCTGGAGTACTTACACTGGGAAATATCTTAAGATGTAAAACTCACATTAAGAAAGGTAAAGAGGTACAGTTAACTTTAACGTAAGGATAATTTTAAAAGTCTAAGCAGTACAAGAGAGAATAAGCAGTTTACTGAGGCATTATCAAAGATGACTACAAATGAGAATTTGAAAACTACATCTGGCCTACATTTGAATTTGCCTTTTAGCTCATGACCAAGAAAAAGTGGAAAAAGTTTTTGAAAATAGTTATAATTGTTTTTCTAACGCAGAGATATGTAGATGTTATGGTACAGTTAATGAATTGCTTTTTTTCTCCAGTCTTTCAAACATTATCATACTTTATACCTGGTATATATGTTTTGGCTGGAGGTAGGAACAAATGAATCTACAAAGTAAGAAGGTGAAGTTGAGAAATAATTTGTCTCAATCTGGATAAATCAAGCAAAGAAAGTCCACTTGGGATTTAAATAGTTCATATTGGATGCCCCCATCCTTTTAGTCCATTTTGCTGTGTGCTAGGTAGAGATATGCTTTAGGTAATTAAAAAAAAAAAAAACCTTTGTTGAAGGTGTGTTGTCTTTGAAAAATTTCGCTTCCTTCCTTATTTTCTTGTTTCCTTTCTTTCCTTCCTTCCTTCCTTTCATGGCTCAGGTAAGGCTAGCACTTTAAAGAGTACCTGAACTATGCAATATTATCAAGGGTATTTAGGCATGTAGAATACAAAAGTCTGGACTTTAAAACTTAAGGCTTTAAAGTTTAGCCAAAAAAAAGTTACTTTTTTTGGGACTGAAATAAATTCATTTTTTGTCTTCCTTTGGGAAATTAAAGGTCCAAATACTCAGCAATGTAAAGTTTATCAATTTTAAAAAGATAATAAATGTCTCAGATTTCTTTTCCTATAAAAATATTACATGGTGAAAAGATATGAAGATAGTTTGAGAATTAATTGAGTTTTAATTTAAATTAAACATACATTATTTATATCATCTCCTATGGTACTATATCTTAATGGACAGAAACTGATGAATTCTGAGAGAGTAGAATGAAATCCCATTCTTTCAGACTTTCACAAATAATATAGGATTATAACCATCATGACCTACCTCCTTCATTGATTGACTTCTTTAATTCATTGTTGAAGTTTAATGGTATATAGAATTTACTTTTTACAAGTATTTTACTTTCTTTTTAGCAGTCAGAGGAGGAACCTTATTTCAGATGTGGTAATCTTAATCACTAATATTTATGGAATTTCTCTGGTTGTCTAGTGGTGTTATATAGATGTGTGTTTTATATGTGATTTGCATCACAATTTCCAATTGTTAGATAATATTTAATAATACAAAATGAAAGCAGATTCTGGTTAATATCTACTGGCAATTTAAAAATATAGGCATGTATACAAGACACAGCAGGAAGTATAGGTAACACATACTTTTGTCTTATATTGGATTCTATATTCTCTTACAGTAGAGAAGCATTTGTACTTTGACAGAAATAGTCAGGAAGGACATAAGTTGAGCACGCACATTATGGTGTTTCCACTATTTTACCATCACAGATTCACAAGTTCTTTATAGAAAATTCTTATTAATCAGGAAATAAAACCAAGAATTTGAAGAGAAGTCTGATACTACAGTTCATCATTCTCTATCAGGAGAGGAAATGGACAGATAAATTGCAGTTATAATGACTCACATCAATTTTCCACTTTTATTTCGTTGTTGCAACCCAGTTCTTGAAAGCGTGTTTTGAACAAGAAATAGCCAGCACCACACAGTACTTTTTGCTCCCATATGTCACATTTTGGTTATTGAGCTTAGTATTGTGATAATTATTCCTACTCAGAATACCAGTATGTTTGTGTATGTTATTTATACTTCATTTTCATTGCTACTTACAAAGACTGGTCCTTACAAGTGTTCTGTGAAGATGAAAGGAATGGGTAGTTAACAAAGTGAAGCAACACAATAAAGAACTCATGTAGTATTTCAGATAATTGGATGTTTGGAGTTGTTGCTTCCCTTTTGACCAGTTTTCCCATTATGATTATCCTAATGTAGATAGTAGAGTGATGTTGTGCACAGACTAGGAAAAACTGCAGAGCTTATTATTTTTTAATTTAAAGGTGAAGTTCAAACTCATGAAGAATGTGTAACAACATAAAGCTTAACTTCTAAGCAAAGATAAGCATACACTGGTAATTGACAGAAAACAATTGTGATTTCATAAAATTAAACCAAACTGGTACTGCAAACTAGTATATAATGTGTAGTTACAACGTCTCTAGCTCTTTTGAAGGGCATCTTCAAAGATCTAGACCAATATATGAGAGGTAGCTTTAAAATCCCAGTCAGACAATTTTTTTTAATTGGCCAGTTACCCCTGATTTTGATGCTATCTTTTCTTGGATAAGGAAATTACATAGGATGTGTATTATTACTTATTTGGATACATATTGAGAGGGAATGTGGTTTAGTGGAAAGAAAGGGGTCAAGAGAGGCCTGAATTCAGATACTGTCTTTGATGCTTACAAGCTATGTGATCATGGGCAAATCAATTGGCCTCAGTTTCCTCATCTGTAAAATGGACATAATAATACTGGTAGTCTCTATCCCAGAGTGGTTAATGAGGATGAAATAGAATAATGTATGTGATATTCTTTGAAAATATAAACTATTGTAAACAAATATAAGCATAAATGTAAGCTATTATTAATCTACAAAACTGAAATGCATCTGAGACATGTGAGCCTCCATCCAGGCAAGTTGCTGGTTATAATGCTAATATTTACCTCCTCTTAAAGAGAGACAATCAGCTTTGGGTTTCCCTGGAAACACAACAGCCTTTCAGAGGTACATGGACTGATGGTAATCTCTAGAGTTCCATTCTAGCTTGATGTGAATAGAATTATTTCCAGGGATCTTTCCAGATATTGCCCTAACTCCCTAAGTGAAACTGAATATATAGGATGGCTAAACTAGACTCTAGAGCATAAAGCAAGATGCCTGATGGCATGGCCTTTGGCCAACAGACTACCCACTTGCATGTCACCTCCTGTTCTAGTAGCTGACTTCCCACCATTTGCGATAATGATTTTCTTGAGGAACTTGATGTCAAGATTTCATGTTTGCTGAAGTGTTGGCTTTTCTCAGGGAAGCATATTAGAAATGAACAATATATTTCTGATATCATTGCAACAACTGTTTGTGCTCCTGCTGTTATGAAACAGGTTGAAATGTTTCCTTAATTCAACATTTTACAGGGATTAATATGCTTTTCTGAAACATCACAACTACCAAATTCACAACAGCATACTTTTTATCTTTTCTGTCTCTATTAACAATAAATAAACACCAACCAAACCTTGAGATGATTATGAAGTTTTTGCATTAGATGTTATATGAGTTGCCACAACTGCAGATTTTGAAAGAGAAAACATAAGATCCCTATGATCTTAACAGCAAAAGTCAAGACTTTTGTCTAATATTTATGGCTCCAATTCCATTGATGTCAATGTCTACAGCAAGACTTGAGGGTGAAGGCAATTCACAGGCAGAGATGCTGTTTTATCTGATATTCTAGAGGGGATAGTAACAGAGAAATGATTGAAATTTGAGGGTTCTATTTTACTGTGTGTAGTTCTATTTTTTATTTTCTGTGAGCTCTTGGGTGAGGCAGGCTTAATCCAGTGTTTCCTCTTTACCATCTGTGAAATGAAGAATGTGATAATGTCCCAACCTTGGAGTGGATTGGATAGTAAGCTCATGGGTTGGTTATGTCTTTGGCTGCTTGTTCAATTTTGCAGCCCAAACAAGCACTGAATTTAGTTATCATTCAGTGACACATTGGACAAGAGGTCAGAGTTCTTTGCTGATTAACTTTGCTGATTCAGATGTCATATAAGGTCAGAAAGATTCATTCTTGGAACCATTTTGCCCCTAGATGTGAAGGCATAGCCAATCCCAAAGTAAAATGATTAGAAATAATTTCTCAAAGAAACTGTGACAATCAGAACTGGCCACTTTAGCCTTCCTGGGACTAGATGAGATGGGTGTTTTCTACAAGTGCTCAATGTATTTTTTTCCAGCCCTTATCTTCTAGATAAGGAGTTAACCACACTGGCAG